ATTGTATAACTGTCCCCACTTCATAGTTCCAGAACTTTCCTTTATACCACACAAACTCTGCCCGTGAAGCAATGTCTCCCATGCCTCCTTTCCCCCAGTAGCCTCTGTCCCACTCTCTGGCCCCACAGGTTTGGATTGCCATTCCAGGCACCTCATATGAGTGAGGTCACACAGTCTTTGTCCTTCTGTGCCAGGCTCGGTTCACGTAGGGTGATGTTCTCAAGGCTCTCTGTATCATGGCAGGTGTCTGAATCTCCCTCCTTCTAAAGGCTGAGTCCTGTGGATCTGTATGCACATTTTTGTTTGCCCTTTCATTCATCGATGGACATTTGCCTTGAGATCCTGGCTTTTTAAGCATCATGGTGCATGGCTTTTGTGGTCATCAGTCTTGCCAGTGGCCTTGGTCGGTATCTGAATCACTGCATGTCTGGGTTGCGGCACTTGCCACCCCAGGCCCCAGGCTCCAGGCTTTGGCTTCAGACCTGGGTTCTAGTCCTGTGCCTGTATGGAGCAGGCACAGGACATGCACCTCCACAGCCTGGTTTCCTGATCCTTGAGTTGAAGGCAATAGCAACCCCGTGTGGACTGCGTTCAGTCATCATGTGTGTGATTGCTTAGCCCTGAGCCTGCCACAAAACAGTACCCAGTGCACAGGGTTCTTAAGGAAGGCCCAGCTCCACTGGTTTCCCCAAGCACCTTCCTGTCTGGTCCAGCCCTGTCACTTGTTCAGATTAGTTTGCCAGAAGTTCTGGCCGTGGGGTAGGGACTTGCTTTAGTCATCTTGTTTCTGTCCCCACAACACGGAGCGGCGCTGGTTTTCTTAGCCAGCACTCATCCTCGGAGGCCCTGTTCAACTCCACCTGCCTTTCTCTGCTTTCCGCTGCTCTTACTCTCCTGGTGGTAGGCTGCTGTGTGCACGCACTGTGCCGTGGACTGGATCTTATTCTTGTTTTTCAGCTTGCATCCCCATCTGAATGCAAAACAATCCGTATGCCCCAGTCTAAGTTGAGGGTTTCCCTAAACCACTCTTTCAGTCCTCATTTTAAAGTTCTTCCCAGGCTGCCTTCATGTTGAAAACCAACATCAGGCAGAGAAGGTACCTGGCCCTGAAACCTCTGGCGACTCCAGTCCCGGTCCTTAAGAAGCGCAATGAACTGGACTTGGTTTGTTCTAAAGCAAAGGCATTTAATACCAACTGGGTAATTATTTCTTGAGGTTTGACCTTAACAAGGGCCAGTGTTGGATATTATTGTAAAAAGTTTTTAAAAATCAGTTTTGAAGAACAATGAAGTATGAGGTTTAACTATATGAAGGTGGATCCATAGGACTACTATTTTGTGTGTGCTTTCCTAACCTTGCACACTTGTGTTCTTGTGACTTGGCGGAGTTTGTTCCAGAAATAGCTACATCTATGACTTTAAAAAATGTTTCAGCTTAAACGGAAAAGAAAACTGTACAGAGATGCAGATCTAGCACAGAATCGTTGGGCATCTCCAAATGTGACTTGAGAGGTGCCTAAGACCACTTTGAAGTTTGAAGGTGCATGTCCAAGGCATTTGAATAAAATGTTAATGAAATATGAATTTACAGAAGCAGATTTCTACAGTAATTGAGATTGTCATGTGACTTAAACATGAGAGTACTTCAACAAGTCTAGGAAAGTGAGTTAATAGAAAAGTTTATTTTGGTGAAAAATGCTTTGAAATCCATGTATAAGATTTTTCATAATATGCATTTTCTATGAACTTTTTGAAGACCTTTCCTGTGTAGTTTAGTGAATACAGAAGCTGCTGTGAGTTAATATTTGGCCATTTCATCTGCATCCCTAAAAATATTTCTGTTCAAGTTGAACAGCATGATATCTGGGGTCTCTTGATTTTGGGGAGCACACATGGCAGTTGTAACCGATGCTTTGCTTCTGAAAGCTTGGGTTATATTCCTTCTCGGAAAGCTTTAACAGGTGGGTAGGGAGTAGATGAAGTGTAGAAGTACTCAGCTGACTTGAATATTTCAGCAAATCAACTTTATAAAAACAGGGCATCTCAGCTCTCTTTCCACTTTGTGTCCTCCTGGAAGTTGAATTGGTAATCCACAGGATCACTTTAATGACAATTTAAAACCCAGTGGTTTGAGGTTTATTATAACTTAGTTGAGAAGAAGAGTCCCAAGGCAGTGGATGAGGATATTAATTCCCTATTTGTGCATAAGAGCCCAACGTGCCCCCAAAAGGCTTTTTTCCTTCTGCTCTGAGGGAGAAGCTGGGCGAGAGGCAGCGACTGCAGTGAGGGATTCCTGTGTAGGATGGGGTTTGGACAGCGACCTCTGCTTCCCTCTCAAACCCAGAGCCTCTGGCGTCTCTGGAGCTTCTGGGCCTCCGTCTCTGTAGGGACGGCCTGACTGCTCTTTTGGTTCAAGAGGCAACGGCTTAAGCAAATCTAGCTTTAGGTAATTTGCCAACCAGGGTTAGGGAGCATGCATCCAGCGGCTTTGGAGTGGCAAACTGAAAGGCCAGCAAGTGGTCGGGCTGCTGTCCTCTTGTTCCTTTCGGAGGCCCGAGCTCTGCCCAGCGAGTGCAGGACAAAGGGGGAGCTTTCAGCCTCTCTAAATGGCCCATTGTACAAGGGAGGAGGTGGGGCAAGGAATGGCTGTGTCTTGCCAGCTTGGCTACACCAAGGAAAGATGTCAGGGTTTCGTCATTGGCTGCTGCTGGGGCGAGGGTGACATTTCTGTGGGTGGTTTGAGGGTGCATTCCTGGTGAAGTGTTCCATCTACCTGCTGCTCAGCTTGAACACTTGAGGCACTTCCAAAGAAGTAGTCAGATCACCTGTATTTTCGGTTTATAAATGACAAGAAGAAAATAAAATGCTTGTGTAAGTATAATCTTGCGGAATTGCAGGAGCTGTGTGTGTGTGTGTGTGTGTGTGTGTGTTTGTTGGGTTGGAGTAGCGGGGGGAACGTAAAGAATGATGGGCCCTGCACCTGCATGGGAGACCAGGAAAAGCACCTGGCTCCTGGCTTCAGATCAGCGCGGTGCATCGGCTGCAGCACGCCGACCGCAGCGGCCACTGGGGGGTGAACCAACGGCAAAAAGGAAGCCCTTTCTCTCTGTCTCTCTCTCTCTCACTATCCACTTTGCCTGTCAAAAAATAAAAAAATGATACCCTGAAGTGTTACCTCTGGCTGGGAACCACCATTTTCATGGTACAGACTAAGTGGCAAGAGGTGAACCCTTGTGTACACTGGGCCTTGAACCCACATGTTCAGAGGCCAGGGTGATGAGATGAATGCTAACGTTTACGCTGCAGTGGATTTTGGATGCAGCCCCTTGGAAACCTGATCTTGTGGTTTCCAGCTGGGGGGTTCACGGGGGACCTGCGAGTCCCATGTGCCAGTCATTGTGTGGGTGTCCTCAGAGGAGAGGGTTGGTGGCCCAGCAGAGGTTAAGAATCACGCAGATTGGATTTAGTCAGGCAGGTGTCCTGTTCTTGAGCACCTTCGGGAAGCTTTGGGAGTCTTGAGCCTCAGCGTCCTCATCGTCACTTTCTTATTGTGATGTGCAGATAAGACCAGACATGGAAGGCTTTCTGAAACACCAAAAAAATGCCAGCTGTGTGGCTAGCTGTGTTGTCTGGAGTCTGGGCCTGCTGGCACGCGGCTTCCTGTTTTCTGACACTCATGCCCCCCAGTTTCTATCATCCTGCCCTACCGCATCTCTTTCTGCCCAGGTCTATTTAAAGGCGTCCTCGGCTCTGGTTCTTTACGCAGGCTTGTGCCAGATTTTCCTGACCCTTGTTATGCTCCCTGTCGTTTTGTGGTTTTAGATCCCAGATTTATAGGAAATTCGAAAGACCCAGCTGAGCAACCCACTTTTTTGTAGGTGTGGGGAGGAAGGGCGTGCAGGAGCAGCTGCAGAGAAGGGAGAAGCCAGCAGTCAGGAGCCTTGTCTGCCCCCCTGAGAAAGACTGGCTTCGTAAGCCTGTAAGCCAATTGAATCGTATTTTTAGAAAACAGCAGTGTGATTTATGTGCCTGGGCTATCAACTCCCCTAGATGATGGTTTGCAAATTTGCTTTTGAAAGAATAAAAATAAATATTCTGACTAGAACACCTCTGGAATAAGAATGATATATGTCTCTGAATTCTAAACATTTGTTAGCAAGTACGTGAGTCTTACTATTTCTTAGAGACCTGTTAGGACTGAATCTTAAAGCATGGTGCCTGTGTTCGCATAAAGCATGCAAAGACAATTCATCGTGTTTAATTTTCTCTGCAAGTCTGCGTTCATATTTGTATAACTCAAGTACTTTGTTCTTAATAGCGAGGTAATAGAGGGGAAAAGATTTCTAAGGTTGTGATTTACATGGATCTAAATGAGGAAATGTCTTAGTTCTTTGTGCATAGACTATAGTTCTCCAATGTACATTTGCAGCTTGTTACCTGGCTGCCAGTAAGAGGCATGAACTGAACCGTAGCTTGTCATTGTCACCCAGTAACTGTTAGAATTTGGCTGGATTTAGGAGCTTAGCATTACACATTAGTATCTGATAGAATCCCCTTACATGCATGCATGCTACTAAATCTAAAGTTTTCTCAAGTTTTTTTTTTTTTTTTTAAACCTTTTTCTCTAAACTTATTAAACTTTCTTAGTGTAAGGCAGGCTATGGCTTTGCTTCTGCTGATGCTTGAAATAAACAAATTACTCATGTCTGGCTGTATTTGTTTACAGAGGAATTCATATCTCATTCAGGAACATCGTTCTGTTGAACGACCCCTGTGAATTCACAGTTAGGTTTTATGGAGATGACTTCAGGGGCTTTGAAAAGTGAGAAGGGTGTGTGTGGTGGGGGTGGCTAACTCCCATTCACGCTGAGAGTACTAGAGCAGGTGAGCAGGCGATGATGTGAAGACGGGCCAGGCTTGCACGTTAGGTTCCTGAGGTTGCTTTGCGTTTTAGAGTGGCAGGATTGTTTCTGACCTGCAGCACTCGGGCCAATAGGAGCTGGACTTGATCTGTCTGCTTATCTCTGAGGTCTCTCAAAGGCCTTCCCTTATGCCTGGCAGACTTAACTTGCTTAGGTTTGTATCATCCCCTTTAGATGGTTAACCCATTGAAAGCCTGGTCCAGGTCATTAGCCCTGTCTCTCCAGCTCCTAGCACAGTGCCCCGCACGCACTGGACACTCAAGTGTGTCAAGCATCAGGAGCAGCTCAGTTCCTGTGAATTCATCCAGAATAAATGTGCTGTGAGTGCACTCTGGGCAATCTGCTTCTCTCTGGGTCATGTTGCCTATTAGTTAGACATGCCACCCAACATCCGATCCCGCATTTCAGTGGTTTACGATAAATATGCCCATTGTCTCTTCTTATTGGGAAGCTGAGCAGAAAGAAAACAGTATCTGTTTGCAGAACTGGCACTGGCAGCCACACTCACTGATGCCTGTCCCTGCCCATGGGTGGAGCAGTGGGGTGACTCTGCTGCCTGCTCCTCATTGGCCCATCCTCCACCCCTGTTCTCCTGAGAAGTCAAGTATGGATTTTGCCTGCTAGTTACCTTTAGCCCAGTGGGCAGCCGCAGAGCCCTCGGCATGTGACTAATGCCCTGAAAGACCTTGGCAGGCCGGGTAAGCGCCGGCTGAGCTCTGCAGCCCCACCCCCCTCGTCGCCCTTTTCTGTTGCTGCAGTGGCGTGTCACCTAGCAGTCAGCTGTCGGTGGCACAGATGGTGAGTGGCTTTGTAAGTACTGCTGCTTTCTCTCCAGAATTAGGACCTGAAGAAACTTGCTTATCTGCTCTTTCTCTGTTGTGTTAAACCTTGAATTCTCCTCCGTGAGAGAGAGAGAGAGAGAGAGAGAGAGTAGCACATGATTGAGTAAGCCAAGCAAAGATATCATACTGGGTCCTGTCGTATTGACAGCCAGGAGAAACAGCTTGATATCCTGCTATTCTGAGAAAAAAACAAAAAACTATTCCAGTATAGACTATAAACAGAGGATTTCTATTTTTGAAAAAAGATACTTTCAATCGTGTGATTCAAATATTAAAAAGAATATATGAGTATAGTAAATAGCTCACGAATACCATCTGAACTTGGAGTTAAAATGTTAGCACTTGTTGCATTGCCAAGAAGTTTTTGAGAAAACTCTTCTAGATCATTTACTATTATTTCCTTCTGTTTGGGGCCAAACTTGAGAGTAATTATTCATCAATATTTTTCTAATTGTAATTATTCCCACTGATTTTCTGCACCACATGTTGATTTGATATATTAATCTATATATAAACTGTGACATTCATTTGGGACTTTCAGTTTTTCTATGTAGATGTATCAGGTTACGCATCTAAGTTTCTTCTGTGTATTTTAGCTCCTGACTTTGTTGGTAAACTCCTTGTAGGCAAGCATCATGTTTATTGCCTTTGGACCTTACAGTTCTGCACTTCACACTAATCACAGGGCATTGGTAAAGGAAGTAGTGATATCTAAGTTTTGCTGAGCGCCTCCTGGTGTGTGGCACCTTCCTAAGCTCTTCATGTGTGTCCTTTAGTCATCATAAAGGCCTCAGAGGATAGGCAGTATTGCCATCTCCTACTGTAGATGAGAATCCTGAGGTCCGGAGAGGTGAAATAGTTTGTCCCAGACCATAAAGCTAATGGAGAAGCAAGACAGGGCTCCAGACTCTAGACTGTTAACTGTTCTGTACTTTCTCTCACATACTGTGCTATAACCTCTCGCAAGAGAGCTGGTGTGTGTTTTAAAGTTTTCGCCTACCATTTTATTTGTTTATTCATTGTGGATATAATAACTTAGGGAATATAAAAGAAAATGATCTTATCAGAAAAGCTAACTATAGATTTCCCAACATTTATATTGCCACCCTGTGGCGTGACCAGTGCAGGGAAGGGAAGGGAAGAGACGTGTAGAAATGTAGATCCAGTCTGTTTTACCAGTTGGGGAACTTGTCCTGAGATCTATTGGAAGAAATAGAAACTGATGGCCCTTAGATGGTTTGGTCTTGTTTGTTCCTTTCCACTCATATCCCTAGTCAGTAGTCTTGATAATGAGACTTGAGTGTATTTGATTAGGTGGAAGAGAACAGAGATGTGATGTCAAGGAATAAAATAGAAACTCATACCACTTATGTGAGCATTTTATGATGAGAATTCTTTGTGAGTAAAATCCTTTTGATGTGTTTAAAGAAAGCAAGATAATTTTTAACACAAGATAATGGAAAAATAGAACAGAAATGAATTATTAAAATGGTTTTAGAAAATGAAATTTGACAGCCAGGGAAAGACCCGGGCCAAGGGGGTGTGGGTTTGACGCCTGGTTTGGTTGTCCAGCAGCCGTGTAAGATGGCTGGCCTGTGGGAGCTCTGGAGAGCCATCTGCCTCCCTGGAATGAACGCACCTCTTCTCTCTCTCCTGACAGAATTCAGCTTGGGGAACCACCAACACAGGACCATGCAAGCCCACGAACTGTTCCGGTATTTTCGAATACCAGAGCTGGTTGACCTCCGGCAGTACGTGCGCACCCTTCCCACCAACACGCTCATGGGCTTCGGAGCTTTCGCGGCTCTCACCACTTTCTGGTACGCCACGAGGCCTAAGGCCCTGAAGCCACCATGCGACCTCTCCATGCAGTCAGTGGAAGTGGCGGTAAGTGGAGGGCCCAGCCTGCCTCCCGGGTTTCTCTGCATTTCTTCAGATTAGTCAAACCCCACTGAACATGACCCTGGCCGAGACCACAGTCACAATCAAATTAGCCGTGTATAAAGACACTTTGTATATAGAAATGTGTGCAAGAGACAGATGGCAAACTGAGGTAGAGGCCAAAATATAGGGCACAGGGACAAATGAGGTGATATACGTTGGTTGTCTATCCACAGTCACACAGAAGATCATTCCAGAAATCACGTTGGGTTTCCACCCTGTGCTGGGCACTGTGGCAGGCCCAGAGGGTTCATGAGGCGAAAGGTAGCAGAGTCCCTGTTCTCACAAGGGTTGTATTCTAGTAGAGAAGTGTCACACACATGTGGCAGAAGGAGGAATTTCATTTGTTTATCTCATACTCTGGACACATCCTCAAACTGTTGAAAAGGACTCTGAGATTTCAAATAGGATACGCCTGGCACAGGGAGTTGCCAGGTTAACATAGCTGCAAGACATAGGCTAGGATGTGAAGAAACAAAACATTCCAGAGGTGTCTCGAGTTGTCGAGTGCGGTAGTTGTACGTGACTTGGGCAAACTAAAAATCATGCTCTCTTAATTACAGAAATTAAACCAGAACATGCGTGATTAGGGATTAATGGATTAGATGCATGGGGAAACCCTAAGGCTTTTTCTAGAAGATTCTTTCTTCAAGCACCTGCTCTGCTTCCCTTCTTAACCTCTTAAATGCACGAGGGGCTGAAAGGATAAGAAGCCAAGTTGGTGCTGCTGCTTTGACTCTTTACATACCCCACCGTGCCATTGCCCACTTTCCTCTGCTTAGGCCAGAACTGGTCTTCACTGTTCAGGTCTTTCCCCACCTGTACAGAACAATGTTGTGAGACAGAATCACCTGGTTTGCTGCTTTCAGCAAACCCTTCCCCAAGTCCCCCAGTCTGATTGCCCGAGAAGAGCATGTGCCCTTCCAAATAAAGTGCTGACTTGATTAATAGCTTTTTGTTATTAAAAGGGTTATAGTTCTTTGCTTTATTTTAGACAAGTTCTTGGATTCATTAATGTGAAACTCTTAAAATATATTAAAGACATGTCAGTCTAATTAATGCCAAAATGTGAATGTAGAATCAACTGAACTACTGAGAAAAGTTGTCTTTATACCTGTTTCTATTCTGAAGGCAAGGTATCTTAGTATTAGCTAAGCTAAATATTAGCTAAGCTAATCTGTGTGCCAGTTTAACTTTTTCTGATAGATTCATGTGAGTTTTTTTGGCATTCCTTGTCTTCTGGCAGACCACCTAGTATATCGCAGTAACAGTGTCATAGTTATGAAAATAGTAGTTGGCAAGTCCAGAGTAAAGACATTTATAATTTAGCAGAAATACCTAATTCTTATTATATAAGAAATTACGGGGGCACTTACAATGTGGATTTTTTTTTAAGATTTATTTATTTATTTATTTGAAAGTCAGAGTTACACAGAGAGAAGGAGAGACAGAGAGAGAGAGAGGTCTTCCATCTGCTGGTTCACTCCCCAGTTGGCTGCAACAGCCGGAACTGTGCCCATCTGAAGCCAGGAGCCAGGAGTTTCTTCCAGGTCTCCCATGCAGGAGCAGTGGCCCAAGGACTTGGGCTATCTTGTACTGCTTTCCTAGGCCATAACAGAGAGCTGGATCAGAAGTGGAGCAGCCGGGACTCGAGCTGGCGCCCATATGGGATGCTGGCATTACAATTGGGAGCTTTGCCTGCTACACCACAGCGCCGGCCCCACATGTGGGTTTCAACTTCAAGTTTAATAGAAAGCTATTGTGTGTTATTAAAATAATTTTACCATTCTCTGCAGAACAAATTTAAAACTATGGATAAGCAGAAAGAAAAAATCTGTATTTCTCCCACTTAGTATAGAGGCTTGTTGATTTTTCTCCTTTCCTAAAGGAAGGATTAGATTTAACTTTGGTTTGCAGAATTTGTAGGTCTTAGGAGTAGATCCTGAACTTGCTTTGCTTTTTGACAGAGAAATTTAAAATGTTGAATTAAGGAAGTGACCCTGGAGTTATGGGACTTAGTGATTGTGATGCTTTGCTGTAGGCAGCATCATTGGATGGACTCCTATGGCAGAGAGAGGGGAACTTAATTCACGTCACACAGCATTGGTGAAGAGCCTGGATTTCCAGCACTGCCGTCAGGCCGGCTGCCGCGAGGGGCCGTTGTTGCTTTGCTTGTCCTTTGGAAACAAGTGAACTCCACTTGCCAGTTCTCACCGTCACCCACCCTTGCATCTCCCATGTGTGGTTTTTATCACTCTCCCCTTCCCAAAAGCTTTACATGGGAGATAAAGCCAGAGGAGGCTGCACTTTGTGGGTTGGCCACTTCTCACCACAACCCGCTCTGGCTGTTTCCCAGCCACACTTTTTTAAAGCAGCAGCCCAGGGGCTGGTTCACCTTCCGCAATTTCCTTTTCAACAGCAGGGCTGTGAAGAGGCCGGGAGCCTCCTGCGTGGCCCTGGGAGAAGGCAGTGAAGACGCCTGCTGTAGTGTGGTGCAGAGAGGCTGGGCTCGGGCAGAGTGCAGCATCTGTCCTAGAGCTTCCAGCGTGTCTTCACCAGGACCCTGCTTGAGAGCTGTGGCCTGTGTGTGCTGTCAGTGTTCACCAACCTGCGGCTCTGGGAGGAGCTTCCGTCTTCCAAACCTTGGTGGTGCTGCTGCTGCTCCGTGCCTGGGCAATGCTCTGCGGGGTGTATTTGCTCACTTTCACAAGATTTCTGGTTTTAGCTTGTCTCCCCCTGTTCTCAGATGGAGAGGAGCCCCACGTGAAGATGGTCTTGGAACCTTTTATGATTGGTTGGGCCCAGCCCCCAGTGGCTATGCCGGTAAAGAAGAACAGGGAGGCAGAACTGTGACCGAGGCTGGGCCTGCTCTCTGTTTAGCGCGGGCAGCCCTGGGCAAGTTCACTGGCCTTTTGCAACCTTCAGAGTCCTCATCTGAAGTTAAGGCACCTCCCCTCCTCCCGTACTGCCAAGAGGACCACACAGATTCAGCGTCCACCTGGCCCGCAGTACACGTGCAGTGAATGCTAGCTGTCTTCCCAAAGTGTCTTCTGTTATCACCCTCCCACTGTGGACGTGGGGAAACTGGGTCAAAGAGGGGAAAGCTGTCTTACCGTGAGTGGGAGGTCGAGCTGCGCTCTGCTGCTTCCACAGGTGGTAGCTGGAAGCCGTGCACTGTAACTAGGGCTCCTGGGGGAGGGAACAGGCAATAAATAAGGCTAATCAGGAAAGGTGCATCTGAAGAGTCAGTGGCCACAGCCACAGCGGGCTCTTACGAAACTGGATATTTATGTATTTTAGGCACATGAACCAGAAGGTAGTGAGAGACATACAGGTGGAAAGGGGACAGGTAAGATAAGAAGTGACGCCTAAATTCTGTACACAGGTGAGGTACAGCATCAGAAACTGCCAAGAGTCAGGTGAGGGTGAGGGGTACGGGGCTGTGAACACGTGAGCAGTTCTGTTCTTCCCACATCCAGGTGGGGACGTGGTGGGTGGGGACAGAGAAGAACTTGGTGTTGCTAGGGGCGTAGACCCATCTGTCATGGCTCAAAGGGTGTAACCATGAGTTATGAGAAGTACAGATGAGAATTGTCACTGCTGAGGAAGGTAGTAGAAAGAAGATGTGAGCTGCTCTCACTGATGAGAGGTATTTATAGGCACTGAGATGACTGACTTGTCAAATTGGATCGGAAGGTTTTAGGTAGCTGCTGCTAGATTACAAAGCACTTAAATGAAAACCCGTGTGATTTTTGTTTTTTACACAAGAGAATGGAGTCATAGCAAGTAAAAGCTTTTTTATACATCCAAGTCCTTAGCCCTAAGACTTTATTATTTTAAGAATGTGATGAGGATTTAGATTAGATTTTACTTCTGGTGCCTAAACAGTTTAGCCCATAGCATATTCACTGTCTAGACTTCTCATTAGACCTCGGTTCTAGAGTAAATTCATATCCTTTAATGTGTGGAACCAGTTCCTTGGGTATAACTCGTCTTATTACCAGATTGGTTGACTTAGTTCCACAGCAGATGATCTTGACATTCAGGTCACATGCTGATTAGTGACCCTTTTGCACAAAAGCTTAAAGCTTAGATGTCCATATGTTGGCATAGAGACTCCTCTGCTAAGTGACTTTCCTAAGCATTTTAATCATGTGTTCCAGAAAGTCCAATAGGGAGGATGTGAAGCTTTGGATTTAATTCTCCACAGACCAAGGAATAGTTATCAGAATCATTTTCTTTTTTTTTTTTTTTTAATCTTTTATTTAATGAATATAAATTTCCAAAGTACGACTCATGTGTTACAATGGCTTCCCCCCCCATACCGTCCCTGCCACCCACAACCCTCCCCTTTCCCACTCCCTCTCCCCTTCCATTCACATCAAGATTCATTTTCGATTATCTTAATATACAGAAGATCAGCTTAGTATACCTTAAGTAAGTATTTCAACAGTTTGCTCCCACACAGAAACATAAAGTGAAAAATAATAGATGATTTTTTTTATTTTTATTTATTTTTTTTTTATTTAGATGATTTTTTTTAAATGATGATGAAATCAGATCAGACCTATTGTCATGTTTAATCCCAGTGAGAGTCAAGTTGGGAATTGATAATTTCTTTTTTTTTTTTTACAGAAGATCAGTTTAGTGTACATTAAGTAAAGATTTCAGTCGTTTGCACCCCCATAGAAACACAAAGTGAAATATACTGTTTGAGTACTCGTTATAGCATTAAGCCTCAGTGTACAGCACGTTAAGGACAGAGATCCTACATGAGGAGTAAGTGCACAGTGACTCCTGTTGTTGACTTTACCAATTGACACTCCTGTTTATGGCATCAGTAATCTCCCTATGCACCAGTTATGAGTTTCCAAGGCTATGGAAGCCCCTTGAGTTCTCCGACTCTTATCTTGTTTAGACACGGTCATAGTCAAAGTGGAGTTTCT